CTGCACTTGCACATCAACGATTATGAAGATGAAGCTCCAAGCCGAATATTGCGCGATACGCTTTTCCGAGAGGCAACATGAGTGAAAAGCGATCGTGTGAGACAAATGGCAATGACTCGTACTCAGATCTTCCATCACGAGCGTGGCCTTGCGAGAGAATGCACGTCCTTTTTCTTGCAGCACTGACGCTCCAGGCCTGAGCCACACCCAATGAGTGTCATCATTCCCCCAGTATGTGATCCAAGGGTTCCTCAGCTGCAAGATCGAAGACCCACGCCATGTTGCCAAGCCAGCCTGCCATGTCCGGCGCCACATGGATCCATCAAAGGAACTGTGTACCCGCTTTTCTGCACCTCAATGATGCCGCAGGAAATCCAAACGCTGCACAAAATGCTTGTCGGAGGTGTGAAATATATATATATATATATAATATAATATGTATACATAGATATATCTACTGTACATGCTATGACTAATTCTCGCTCCGGATTAATCCGGAGGACTCCAGGACTGTTCAGATTAGCGGTATTTCCCGTTTCAGTACGTGGCTGTGCTGGCCGACACCCGCAAAGCTTTATGAAGGCGCTGAAAACCTGTGGGCTGCTTGTGTGCAGTGCTGCGAGGGTGCTTGCCCAGCCCAGGAGCCGAAGCACATGTTGTGTTGCAGTCGGGCCGCGCACGTTTTTACCTTGTAATTTTCTCCCCAACCCCCCTGCCCCCTCCCAACCCCCCCCCCCCAAACAAAAAAAAAAAACACGGACCCGAATCACGCTTTGTGCTGGGGGACCTCACCACGGTGCCCTGGGGTCCGGGGTCCTCCGGATTAATCCGAACCTAAGGTTCTTGCGGCCAGGGCACTGGTTGGACTGCCATTTGACAGAGCCGCGCCAAAGCGAGCACAACCAGCTCATCTCCTTCGTCGTCTCCGCGCAACTTGCTGACCCACCTGCATATGATTGCGCGAGCATGCGAGTCGCATGGGCACCCCGAAAATGTTTGTTTCTTTTTGGCTTCATGCTCAAAACCGACCCAAGCCCAACCAGGGTACCCTCAGCAAAAATCACACACACCCAAAGGGGAGTCATCCCAGCAAAAACATCACGGACAGCACATGTCACCACAACGGTATCTGAGTCTTGGGTCCCAGACTGCTCCACTCTTTAAGGCAATCAATCTGACCACGGGCTGCCTCTCGTAAGCATCTCGGCCATCAGACGAAGTGCTATGTACCTCACGTTGATGCTGGGGGCATGACTACACTCCAGTCAAGGGCACTGGATGGAAAAACGGCACGTAGTAGTCCTGCACATGAGCCCCTGACAAAAATCCTTGGCTCCCCAAAAGGACATGGGAAACTTGGAGTGTCCCCAAATGTCCTTGGGGTGTCCCCCAATGTCCTCCCCAAGTGACAAATAATGCTGTTCGTTGCCCCCAAAACAGAAGGCATTTGGCTGTGGGCCAAAACCAATGGTAGGTGCACCACCCATTTTAGTCTATTTTGGTGGGGATTGGGATGTTCACTCGAGGCACAGGATTTTGACCCATGGCTATTTCGCTCTCAAAGCCCACGCTCCTTCTCTGCGACCAGCACCTCGCAGGCCGCGTGGCGCAACATATCCGCCATGCGACCTCAGATTTGGACGCCGAATGAGCCACACAGCTGTTATTACTCGCCTTTTTTTGAGGCAACCGTCCTGAAAACCGGCTTGCCAGGTGACTTTCATGGGAAACCCCAAAATGGGGGTGGCTCAAACATAGGGGCCCAACATAGAAGCCTACTAAATGGAAAAGTGGACTCCAAAGCTGCGGTCCCCTGGAAACCTCCCTAAAAACTTGAGCCACACCCACATTTTCACGGTTGTTTCCTTTTGTTGCTGGTGAGTAGGGAATGACCTTCAGGGTGTTGGGAATGAACCCAGTGATATAGGCCGCACTCCCTCAGGGACTTTGCTGGAATTCCAGCAACCCCGGGCCCCATCCGCCAAGAAACCCAAGGAGCTGCTCCTGTTGTGCAAGTGCTCCTCAATGAGGTCGGCCACTGGAATGGTCTGGCCCATGACTTCGACTTTTGTCGCATGTACAGAGTGCCTCCCCTGGGTTTCCACTCGGTTCTAACTTAACTAACCTTCTAATCCACAAGGGGCATCCTACAACATGACACCATGGAGAAGTTTAAGGAGAACCAAAGCTCGCATTGCAGCGGAGCCGCGGCTTTTTTGGCAATCGCCCCCGCGTGAACACTGGCGCTGTGGACCCTGAGAACAGCTCCGAGGTGAGAGCATTGATGCATATCAGCCAGAATTCGGTGAATGCACCGGCTGGCGTCACAGTGCATGGAACGCTTTCCCCCTGGACAGCTTCAAAACATCTTCGGATTCAATCTGAGACATTGCCAAAGCAAATGGTGTACAGGAACAGAACATAACTGCACAATCGAACAGTCCAAAGGCTCATAGCCCTGAATTTGGTGCTCGGACTTGCTGAATTCATCGTGCCGCACCATGGGACGAGCGCGCAACCGGCCGTGAGGTTTCAGCTCTAACGGTTGGGTCATTCTGCTCCTTGACGTCAGCGCTTGTTGGGCAACCTGGCAAAAATCAACACTATAAAGTCCTTCCACGGCATAGCCGAGCCGCTCTACTCGCCAACGCAAGTGCATGTCTCTGTGAAGCATGGAAAGCGTTTACAGGCCAGCAGCACGATGCTGCAGGTTCCGGCTTGGCAGCAAGCGCAACAGTGTCCTGACTTGATGGCAATAGCACAGAATTGGGCACTCCCATTGCAGGGTCAAGTCTGAGTTGCCAACCTTCGGGTAGACCTGTCACGACATGGCTTTGGCCCTACCTGGTTGACCCGTCCAGCCTTGTCGCACTGCGATACACACTCGGTCGGGTCGGCAATGTCCTGGAATTCCTTTCCCAGGGATTTCATGCCTCGGGACCCCCCGTCGCCTCACTGAGAATCTGGCAAGCCCTGAGACCAGCACCAAATCGCTGGCACGCGACCTGTCACACTCCAAAGCGCCAAGTGCACGTTGGACATGTATGATGCGTGCAGTGCCAAACAGCCTTGCAGCGATGATTGTCAACATGTGGTTTGACCTCGTGCACAATGCGTCCCAATCTCTGCAGAGTCGATTGCTCAGTTGCTCAGGCGGCAACCGTGACAGCGTGCCCCAGGCTGCAAGCGCCCAGGAAAGCCAAGACAAAGCTCCACCGCGCCTTGGTTGCATTCAAACCACCAGGGTGTGGCTCCAAATTGAACAGGAGGGGTTAATTACGCAGGTTTTGGTTCATTTTTCCACTTACCAGGGTTCCATTTTGGTACCGGTATTTTGAGCCACAGCCACCAAGCCCCACTGACTGCGCTGAATTGCACCGGACAGTGTGGAAATGCCTGAGCAAAGGGCCATGGCGGTGGCCGCGCTTCAGTATTCGCGGGGTTTGAGCTGAGGTCACGATGATTTGGCTTAGCACCAAAGTGCGATCTGCAATCGATGCTCAACGCAACTGGCTCCACCACGCAGCATTTTGCATCATCACAGGTCAAGCATGTAATTCAAATGTCACATGCAGAAGACTGCAGAAATTCTCTGCAGAGGAGAATGAGTGCCCACCTACATGATGTTGGCAAGGAACCTGAAACCCGCTATCTACACCTGCCTGCGTTCTGTACAGCACAACTTTGCAGGAATTGTCTGTCCGTCTAAGGATAATTCCTGATGTGACTCGACAGTGAGCAGTGACAATGTTTGCTTGTCATCCGCTCAAGCAGACTTTCTCTTCCAGCCAATGTGCGTCATGTCCAGCATAGGTTCCGCCACATCTAGCTCCATCATCAGGCGAGCAACACCTCGTTGAGAAAGGATCATGAGTCTGAGCTCAAACACAATCAATGCAGTGCTTGGCCTAAGTAGCATACCCAGAAATGTGACCACCACGAACATCTGAATCAGTGCAACCTGGCCAGGATCGTCACCAACAAACTCTGCAAGCCTTCAAGAAACACTCAAACAGCAGCAGAAGCATGAGATATGCGAGGTTCCCTGCTAGTTCACATGTTCAAAGTGCGCGCAGTCTGCAAAAAGAAAAGCTTGACACCCTCATGAGCTCTAGCATACCTGCTAATTGAACCTAAGATGGCATTTTCCAACCTAGCTCCAGTACTCGGCATGTAGCTTGGATCAGTACAGCTATACTCCCACGGACACATGTCGCAGCACATACAAAAAGTTGTTCGGGATAACCCGTGACGTGAATATGAGGATGCGATCCTCTTTGCGACATCATGCTTTCAAATGTCCGTCTCTTCAGCTTTGGACATGTCAATGTGTTTGAACACATGCTCGACATCATTGGCGTATGATCGAGCTGTGCACGAGATGCAGTGGAAGTGAATTGGTGCTAGCCCGGCCCAGCATGACGCGGGGTCTTGCGTCATGCGCAGCTGAATCGTTGACGCGATTCTCTGATCAAATCATCGTGAGCTTGCAACACGTGATAAAACACAGAAGTATGCCGTAGACAAATTTGATTATCATGGGAATGTTCAAGTGAGCATGCCCGCTCTGTGCCGTGCCAACAAATCCAAACAAGAAAGGACATCAGCTGACTCTTCCGTCAAAGCGCTGTTGCCATATTTGTGAATAAACAAACCTTTTGCAAATACCAGAAAAAATGTTCAGGTGCGCCTTCTGAAAACTAGAAGTGAGCTGGCTTTCCAAACTAAAAATGGCAAGCTAATTGTGCATATGCAGATGCCAGCGCTTGAGGTTGCCCCTTTGTTGGTGGTTTTAAATGGAAGCCAAAGGAATACCACCAGTTTGGGGGGGTCCCTAAACAACGGCATAGCCATATGTCTCAGGTCTCCAGCTGTTCCGGCCTCCACCAGAACAAGTAGAATGCCCCAAAGAGCTGTCCCGACGAAGAGGTGAAAAAAACGCACCACCGCGCCGATTGGTGTAAGCATCAAAATGCACCTCAGAATTAATCGATCTGGGC